ATAGGGATGCCGCGAACTTTTTCGACCAGAAGTTTCGTTTTTTCGACCTTTTTATATTAAAAAATTTGACGGAATTCGAATTTTCGAACTTGCTAAACTAAGAAATTCGACGCTTTTCGAATTTTCGAATTTTGCAGGTTCAGAGATGCAATGTATTTCGAACCTTCAAACTTATTACGCTAAAAATTTGTATAATTTTCTAACTTCGAATTTATTAAGCAGCGAAATTCGATGCTCGTCTGATGATTTTCGAACATTTAATTTTGTACACTGTAAAGTTCGAAGCTTTTCGATATTTCGAATTTCCTACGCTCAGAAATTCGATAATTCTCGAACTTTCAAACCTATTAATCTAGAGAATTCGAAACGTTTCAAACTTTCGAATCCTGAAACGGCAAAAGTTCGACGAACTTCGACCTCCTAGGGTAAAAGTTCGAAGTTCGTCGAACTTCGAAAGACCGGCGGGCGGTCTTATTTGAATTCAAGCAGTGAGGTACATTCCTCATTTTTTTCTCCGAGTTTTACATGCTGTGTTGCGTTCCTTGCGTAAACAATGCCGTTTTAAAGAAATAAATTCCCGAAGGAGCGAGGAACGACGACGGGTTTCTGACGATTGTCGTTTGTGCCATATTTAAAGCGCGCTATTAGCCCCGAGAAGTTCGCATGGCGCCCCCTTATGGCGAACCGGGGTGACGTCACGGCGAGGAGAGAATTTTTCTCCGACTCTCCCCGCTCGCCCTGTGGAGGCTGTGACGACGCTAGCTGTCGGCGCGATCGTTTCTATTTAATTTTTTGGGGCGTGTTTTTTGTAGGAAGTGTAAATGTTTATATGTGCCTTTATTGGGGTATGGCCTGTAGCTACAGGCGGAACTTCAACCAACATTTTAAGCATGGTTGACGGGGCAGGCAACGCACGAATCACAGCTGGTATATGAAAATAAAAAATATGGCCACAATTGCAGGAGCATCACTATAGATTTACGTCTCGCGCAATAAATGTTGATGATGGTCTGAATGAATTGGGAGGTTATGTATACTATTTCTTTTGTATCTCTGTTTTTAAACAAGATAGCCGAAGCAGAAAAGCTGCATGCTGCTCGCTTCGGCTAAATACAGTCTGGGCCATGGGGAGAGAATCACAAGTAAGACAACCCAAATGCAGTGGCAAAGTAAAAAAAAAAAAAAACACGGAACATTTATTATGTACATTGCTCGCATTTGACCTTTGCTGGATTCGGATGATATTTCAATGGAGTACACGGGTGGTATCTGTGGACTTGTTTATATCAACCCTCAAGTAATGTATAACAAACGTATGCGAGGGTGTCTAGCTCGTTATTAGTCACTTAAGCCTTAAATTTAGATTTTACTTAAATCGAATTGTCCTGAAGCTAAAATCCCAGAAGCTTTTCTCACGCAGACTGTCACTCTTCACAGGTTCCATATTCTCTGTTACTAGCGCTGCATCTACCACTGGACAGACGTTCGAATGCTTGCTTTTACTCCTGTTTTCCTCTGTTGTCAGAGAGTCCAGCTCTAGGGAGTTTGAAGGCTGAGGAGGTTTTTGGGGACCTGTAGCAGTCTCTTTTAATTCGAAATGACAATTCAGACTAAACCGTGTATTTTTTTAATACCCAAGGCTGGAATAAAGAATGTCAGGAAAAAGTATAAACATTCCATATTACAGCACTATTGCTGTGCATATTTTGGGCAGTTCAATACATATCATACAGGCACCTTGGGGCAATTCGGCCGTTTTTGCTGCTACCATACAATCTAATTTCCAGTAACTGTGCATCTTCTAAGAAATATGCCTGCGTACGTGTATAAACTATATAATCAACTCACGAAGAAGTTACAGTTATGTAAAGCAGCCCTGTTCCACGAGCATTTCAAAGATGATCAGACGCAGGGCCTTTAAAATATCTGCGAACCAGCGCATGCAGAGTGGAAGCGCAGAGTCGGGGTCGCGAGCTAATTTGCCGACCACCCAAAGGCCCATGATATAAATGCCACTTCAAATGCCTTGAAAGCGGGATGTAATATCGTCCTAAATCATGAACAGGCAAGGAACAGAATTTCAGCGTCTGAAACACTTGCGCCACCGCTTCACCGACCCCTCGCAAGATTGCCTTGTGTCGTGTGAACGGGCGGGAAAGTTCATCGGCGAAATTACCTCCTCCGATAGCTTTCGGGATTTGTAACCCAATTTTAAAGGTAAAAAGGACGAGCAGGCTTATAAAATGTACGGAAGTCACGTCAATATCGGCCTAACTCAACGTCTTGTACACCGGGTAAATGAAGTCCAGCTCCTCGAAGAGCTTGCGGCACACAACGCCAGACCAGGAAACCTGTGGAAAGCGAGCCGATGCGAGATCGCGGAGCGGAGTACTCCCCCTGACGTCACGGTACACCTCACCCAATCAGGGCGCCGCGACCGCAGCGACGCTTGTGTTCGCTCTCGGGGCTAATAGCCGAAGCTATTTATGGTAGAGATGTTAAACTTTTAAAGAATGATCTATGTTAGCCTCGGTAAGTCTCGTATTAAATTATGATTATTGTTATTCAAGTTGAGTTTCGAAGAAATGTCCAAACATGTATTTACGGGCAAATATGCCCTAAACTTGGTTTTTCTTTTCTCTAAATTGTTTTAGGTATCGCATTTAAACTAACACCACAGACAGTACTTATGTAAAATATCATTGCCATCTGCAGAATACAACATAATATATTCAGGGTTTTTTTCACATAAAGAAGTAAATTAACTCAAAGGGAAGATTTCTAAAATTGTTAAACGTCATTAACAAAAAAAAAATTTTTTTTTTCTCGCTTCACGTTTCTGGGACGTGTTTCTTTTAGCCTGTACACATTTTGGTAGGAAAACTTGTTGCGAAGTTCTGAGCCTCTGAATATGCAAGAATACAACACTTCTGGCAGGTTCTTGATAGCTTTTTTTGCTCCAGCTTTTTATCTTTGCATTTATTGTTATGCTTATTTTTTTTTAAATTATTATTGGCTTAGTTATTTAGGGCGAAAAGACATAGCTGTGAACTTGCGAACCACCGAGCATGTGACGAGTAGTGCCTTCTGACAACGAGTTTCCGACAATGACCATCTACGCGATCTTTTATGCAGTGAAGAGCGACAGTAGCTATACCTATGCATGAATAATTTCAGATTAAAATAAAGTCGACCACGCCCCCTTTCCCCGTATTGTTTTCTTTAACAGTTCGAAATAACTGAGAGGGGAGGGGGGCGAAAAGAGCTGGAGCCCCCCCCCCCCCCCGCATCTTCTTTCCCTTTTTCTTCTTCCGACGCCACTTGTATGGCAGAACGCTCCTCGACCTCGAGTTGTGTCGGTTTCTGTGATATTTGCTCGGCGTTTGCTTCGTCGCGATAAATAAACCTCCAGGACAGTTACAAACTAAACTTACTAAATACCAGCGTCACTCGGGCGGCGTTCGATCGGATTACTACCAGCGTGTAAGGGGGTGGGGAGGTAGTTGGCTAGATCGCTTCAAGGTTTTTCTGAGCCTCAACCTCCTGCCCGCCCCTGACCGTTTCGAACTGGATGAGGTGCGTAAAACAGTGCGTTCGTGTGATCACTACTTCGTAATGCACGTTAATGACCACCCCGGGCTGGCGGTCACAATTACTGATCTATTCTTACACGTCACTGCACTGGCAAATATTCCAGCACATCCGGGACACTCGTCGTCTCATTTAATTGCCTGACCAACTTCGCGCAGTGTAAATATCACACCCGAACATTTCTAATCCTGATTTTGTGAAAATCAGTGAGGCGTGGAAACGTTATTTAAAACTGAAACTGTGGAGGAACATAGAAACCGGACTTCGAACTTTGAAAACTTGGGCTTGAAAGAAATTTGAAATTTTCGAAGTTTCTTTGAAGTTAGTCCTAAAAGAGAATAGAAACCTTCGACCTTTTCGAGCTTTATGTAGAAAGAAATTCGAAATCTTTGAATTTTTAAACTTCATGACTATAAAAATTCGAAGCGTTCGATTTTTCGAATTTGAGATTCAAGAAAATTCGAAATCTTCGATTTTGCGAACTTCAGATTCAAAGAAACTCGAAATCTTCGAATTTTTGAACTTCAGATTCCAAGAAATTCATCATGTTCAAATCTCGAATTTCAAGTCAGGAAAGTTCGAAATGTTCGATTTATCGAACCTCAAGTAAGAAAAAAATATTCGAAATATTCGAACCCGAACTTTTAGAAACCGTGAAAGCCTCGAACTTTTTGAATTCGACACTTCACGGTGTTCTGAAGTTCCGAATTTTTCGAATTCGAACCTCGGTCGGTACGAAAATATGAAAATCTTTCGAATTCGAGCCTTCGGTTCGAAAATATCGACACCTTTCGAATTCGAACTTAGGGTGGTTCACGGCATCTGTAGTCTGGTACATCCTGAAGCACTGTACTTAGTAGGAACTCTACATTCTCTTAATGCCAAAGCATTAACTGTCTCATGGAGCGAGCTGACGTCATCAGTTTGAAGCGCGAAAACGGCACCTAGTTTCCTTCGGTTCCATTGGCTGGAGCGTTGACGGGGCTCCCATTGGCCGCTGCGCTCGTCAGTTTCCACGACTGCTCACCCCATGGCGCTGCGTGCCCATCATCTCGCCGTTACCAAGAGCGTCCAAGGTCACGAGGGGAGCACGGGCGCTGACCGGCGACGAAAAGTACTGTGGTGTCCGATTGCCCCTGCCCGATCAAACCGCGCTCCGCTCGCTCACCGAGAAACCAGACGACGCCCGCTGCCATGAGAGGGAGTTTTATAAATACTTATAAATACCACGGCGACTAGGGAGAAGGAAGGAAGTGACGTCAACAATGCAGCAAACGCAGATTGGATGTTGATTGGTGAGAGTCGTTGATGACAAATTTCTGCAGAAGAAAAGAAAAGCTTTGTTTTCTTCTGCGGGAATTCGTCATCAGCGACTCTCACCAATCAACATCCAATCTGCGTTTGCTGCATTGTTGACGTCACTTCCTTCTCTTTAGTGGCCGTGAGAATCCAAAAAGCGCAACATAGGGCTCTCTTGGTGGTCTGCCGCTGGCTTGGCCTCCCCGGTTGTGGCGACCGCCGCTGTGTTGCCGGTCTGCCGCCAAGATACAGGTCCGGCTCCGGGATGAAGGTCCGCAACTCCGCGATGAAGAATCGTCGGCCCTCGAGCTCTGCCGGGTTCTGCCACCGGGGCCGTCACGTTCCCCCCTTTTTTTCTCTTTTTTGTCCCTCGCGCCTCGCCGTGTGCCTCCCTTCTTCCTCGTCCCCTACAGTGCACTGCAGACGAAAAATGGGGCGGACGAGCGGCTTGCATGCTTTCACATTCGAAACTCAAGGGAAATGCTTAGATGTACCTCGAGCTTTTTCTTCCTTCTTGCAGAAGATGTCTTTAAATCGAGGATCAAGGAAGGTTGCAAGGACATAAAGGGACTGTGTGCCAGGAAGCTTGTTTTCATTGGCCTGAGACGATTCTGGGAAACGCCTTGTCTTGAGTTCCACTTGCAACTTGATGTTGCTTGTGGAACTCCTAAAGCAACTTGATGTTGCTTTCTGAGTTCCACTTAGAAAGCAACATCTTTACACGGCGAACAAGTGAAACAACCATGGAAAGCACTAGGAAAAACTCGGCACAAGAAGCTGTTGCGGCATCATCAATTGATGACAACAGAGAAAAACTAGGTACAGAAAGGGACGCGCAAATTAAAGAGCTTGAATGGGCGGTTGAAAACGCTGAGCAATATTCGCGGCGGAAGAACATAGAGATTCACGGTATCGTCCAAAATAATCAAAAAGACCTGACACCGGTTCTCGGTAATCTATCAGCAAGGCTGGACCTTCTTGTGCCTCAACCGGATAAGATTGAATCTGTGCATAGATTGAAAGCGAGAGAAGGAAAAATTCCGCCAATCATCGTGTGGTTCAGGGACAGGTCGGAGAGAGATTGGTGGGTCAATACGCGGACCGCATTAAAATCTGAACGTATTTCCATCAACGAGAACCTAACAAAGCTCCAGCGATGGTTGTTTTGGAACGCGAAAGAATGGTGCAAAGGAAAAAGGCTACAAATATGTCTGGATGATCGAGTTATAGAAAAATTGTAGTAAGGCGGAAAGACGGCGCGGCTGTGATACGTATCGAGGTTGAGAGTGACTTGAACCACATCCGCTGATATGACCTCGTGCAGCTCATTTACAGATTGGGACAGATACACCAAAACAGTACTAGTTGAGGACGAAATAGAAGACAGGCGGCAGATTCTGCATCTCATTCAAATTAATGTTAGAAGCCTTAGAAAAACACTGGGGCGTACTAAATGTATAGCTGAGGAATGCACTCACAGATATAGATATACTAACACTAACCGAAATAAATATCGAGGCCACAGAGCCTTTGTCTTTTCATTTTGATGAATTTCACGGATTTTCAGCACGCCACCAAAGCAGAAAAGGAGGAGGAATTCTTGTATACGTAAAAGAAATACATGGCTAACTGACCGTATTGAGCTGTCTTTGAATCACGCGGAAGTTCTTGTGATTACTATTCATAAAGCAGAACTGTCATTTACATGGGTTGCCAAAGGCATGGTAGCGCTTTTTTGGACGTCCAAAAAAGCGCTACCATGCCTTTGGCAACCCAAGACCAATACCAACTAGCCCAACATACAGCTTTGATATGTCATTTACAATTTGTGATGTGTATAGATAAAGACCGCCCAGCAATAATTTAGAATTGTTCTATCAAGAATTCTCAAAATTACTAAATAGGCTTAATGACAATGATCAACTCGAATTGGCAGGTGACTTTAATATAGATACCATGTGCCATAAGAAAATGGGAGTTGCGGTATATCTCGACATATTGTCACGAATGACAAGTGATGGGGTGATAATAACTGGAGAAACTAAACCTTTAATGGAGCGAACTTCTGCCCAGAAATAAAAAGGGAATAGAACAAAGATTACGAAAATAATCCCTGGAGAAGGGGAACAAGAGGGACAAAGGACAAACACAAATCTCCAAACACAGCTAGGTGACTGGTGCGCGACCGAAAAAAATCCGCCTGGTCCGGGTATCGAACCCGGGACCTCTCCATTCTCGTCATTCTTGTCCAGCTCGCTTGCACCTTTGCATTTCATTGCATTATAATAATAGAACAAAGCCGAGCGTCGCGGGCGTCGAAGTCGGCGTGACAGCAGAATCGAACGCTGGGGCGAAACTGACTCCGCTCGTCTTGCGGAGTCCCTTATGTACCCTCGTAGGTTTATGGATCATTCGGTGTAGAACTTTCACTGCGTAGAACATTCGGAACTTGATCAGACGAGAATGTTTGTGAACTTACGAGAAGGCCAAGTTGAAATAATAAATAAAAGGACAGTCCGCTGACTGGAATGGAACCCACACCTTCCGCGCGACAGTCAAGCGCGGTAGCCACTCGCGCCACGCACGCGCTTGCTCGCCGACGCGCGTGGCAATGTTGTCTACCTACGGTTTGTATAATTTAATTAACGACTACAAAAGGGAAGAGTACCTAGGGCATACAATTACCAGATTGTGCATTGATCACGTGATAGTAAGGTTGAGTAACTTAAAATTTCTAGGGGGAACAATTAAACAAAAGGTAGCATATCATTATTTCGTTGAGCTTAGGGTAATAAACAAAGAGCATACAGCCGTGAGAGGAAAAAATGAACGTAAACAAATCCTTGACAATAAGAAAGTAGATGACACTATTCAAAGATATAACTGCAAAGCTTTGCTTCATCTAGATCACATCATTCTGTATGATACGTTAGTTGAAACCTGGAAATAATTGGATCGACAAAGAAATACTAAAAATCAGTGTTGAAGAAAACAAATTATCGAATAGATGTAAGCAAAATCCGCATGAGACAAAATTAAAAGGAGAATTTAGACGACTATGAAACCACCTCACTGCGAAAATTAGACTTGCTAAAAATATATTTCATATGACGCAGCTCTAGCAGTGCGGGAAGAACTTAAGAGAAACGTAGAATATCGTAAATCAAATAATTGGCAGACCCCCTAAAGATAATATAACCGTGTGATGTGACGAGTGACAGTGAGAAATCTCCGTCGCTCGTCGTTGACTCTCGCCGCTTGTCGCCGTTGCTTGTTGCTCACTAAATCACTTATATGCGGTTCAGGCTTAAAGAGATAATACAACGAAATTTCGGCGCTTACTGTTTTGTCTATGTGTGTTCAAAGGAGCAGTATCACATCGGACACACCATTATCTTGTTAAAAAAGACACGAAAAGGAATTTTAAAGCGAATTAGATGATTAGCAAAGAGCACCTGGTGGATGTCGCCAACGCCTCGTTTGTAATGCCCGTTTACGAACCTCGACTCCGGACAAGATTATAGAAGATTAACCCATCGCTCGAAATTCGCACAAAAGCAGCCGCTTCGGTGGCTGGAACGACCAGGACATCCACTCGACGTCAGCCTCGCCGCAGCTTTGCTTGTCCCGAGACAAACTACGTCCCGATTGCGTTGGATGTCACGTGGTCTCCGCTTGCTGTTCTCCGAGCACTTGCCAGAGTGGGCCGTTTATAACGAAAAATACAGCCACCAGGCTCAAACTACAAACGCGCGATTGTCATTTACGGATATTGTGGATCATATTCAAGCCATTTCTGAGCACTGCGGATATATTTCAAATTTCTTCGAAGTATCCCTTTGAAGTACTCAAATGCTGCGATGAATAAGAGTGCGATAGGCTTGATGCGCCAATTGGGCATTTTCAGAAGCCGCAATTAGTTTCAACTAGCTTTACTTCCGGCAAAAACGTACCAAATGTGATGAACTTACATGGTCTCTGAAGTCTAGGACGTAACCTTGCGTCGTCGACCAGTTCAGTCCGATTCTATAGTCTATAACACACTGGCGGCGGCTGTTGAATTGCAGTACGTAGTGCAATACATAGTTCAGCAGGGGGAAAGTAGATGCCGGAAATGGCGGACGGGTCGCGTGACGCCAAGATGGCGGCGCCCATGCAAAGTTGCCTGAAGGCGTGTGTACTCCTTTCTCTCTAGTCGACATGTTGCACCATTACTCCGTGCTCGCGTCTCGGTTTCGGTAACGAGCCGCTGCGTTTTTATTTTTTGCCTTTATTGGAAATACAGGTGATTCTAAAGCAAAATACTCATTGGGTAGTCTTCTGAAACCATATTCAATCGCCTGGGGAAAAAAATAAAAATAAACTTTGGTTGGGTGTCAGTGTTCCTTTAAAGCTAGGCATCCTCCACTGTAAACCTCCCCGTATGATCTCTCTTTTCCCCCCAATCCTCAGTAGACTGGAATCGCTTTCCGATGCCCATAGTTTAAATAATTTATGCCGCTGATTTTAAAATGGCGATTTTTAATTCTCTTGCTGTTCCTTAGCCATTGTTCCTATGTTTGCCTCCTGAGGCAAACATGAACAATAATTAGTCGGATTTTTATTCGAAAAATGAAACATGTCACACATAATTGTAGTTTTGGATAATATCGGAGGAGGACCACGAGAATGGAAAATTAAGGACGTAAATTGCATTGACACAAGGTCTAGCTCGTATTTCTCATAAAAATCACCTCATGTACGCTAGAGCTACTCTAAAGCCGGTGCCCCAATGCTCGTACGCCATACAAAAGACCGTCTGCCAACACGAGTCAGCGCAGAATCGGTGGTTCGAATGCCGCCTGCCTACACTCTTAGAAAAAAGGGTATGGATAGTCCTCCCTTAGGGGATGAACGGTCTTGTAACCTATGTTCCTTTAGAAAGGGAGAAACTTTCGTCCCTGAAGCAGGGGAGCAAAGTTCCTCCGTCGCTTGCATCTCAATATGGCGGCCCCGAATCGAGCAAATCGAGCCCAATAAGGCTTGACGAGGACGCTACGTCTCTTGTACGGGACGAGAGGAGCAGCAAATAAAAGCATAACACGAGCTTTCCGCGAACTGTGTTTATTTCCGAAGCCAGATTCCCGCCACAGGCGTTTCGAAAGCAGTTACTCAGTCTTCTCGTCGACAGCACTGCGATGCTAAACGGAGACAACCGATACCCAGTTACTTCGCGCACTTTTCGTCTTACCTTTGGGGTTCCTCGAGTCACAATTCCTTCGTCAACCGCACATCACGGAGAAGGGCAAACTCAATCCGCGAACCAAAAGCCGCTCTCGAAAGAACAAACTCGAAGCCGCTGCTTATCGCGTAGCGTGAAAGGTGGAACCGCTAGCCACCAGATGGCGGGTTCGCGGGGTCAAGCAGAGTAATTGCAA